CAGTACGTCTAATAACTTTGCACACTTCATCTTCTAGTGCATATGTAACTCCACTCTGATGTGTGTTTGCCGCATTACCCATTTTCTTAGAGATCACGTTCTGTATGCTCTAAATATCGTTTGATTAACACAACAGCCCAGATAACTGTCCCACTCTCAACTGACTAATAACATATAGACACATAACACAAATAAGCTTGAAAAACTTTCTGAAAAAAGCGGGAGAGTTAATATTTGTCTATTATTTAGTCCTCACTGGGTCTAAAAGCAAATTGGTCTGATGCCTTTTCCGGTCTTCCCTCCCTGTGGTAAAGACCCAGCTCATACCTGTAAAGGTTGATATCAGCAAACGATTTACTGTTGTTAATGGCAAAAACACAGAGGAATCCTTCGCCAGTTCTCATGTACTGATCACGCATGGCACTATACTCTTCCTGTCCCGCAGTGTCCAGAATGTCTAACAAGCACGTCTCGCCATCAATTACCACCTGCTTTCTATACGAATCCTGCAAAATACACAAGCGAATTTTAGATTAGACAAAAACATTGTACTACTACTTTCCACCTCGGACACGATCAAGGAAAAATAAAAATAACAAAAAAGAAAAGTGTAATTGAGAGGAGCTTTTCCAGGCCCTAGCAACAAAAAAAATACAGGTATCTAAACCGATCAGCATTTGAAATGTTACTCTAAGCCCTCTCAACCTTTCTCACAAAAAAGAAAAGTCATGTTCTTTGTAAGGAATTCCTCAACTGGTAGACAGAAAAAAAATACCATGAATACACCACTACAACACCGTGACTAGAATCTAGAATCTACAGTCTACTTTTTTTGCAGCCATTGTTGGCTGCCCACACTCTGCCTTGGAGCGCAACGAGCAGAACACGCGAGGAGTCTTTGAAGAGTCTTCCCCGAATTTCTTGTCCTGTGCTCCGCGGTCTCAGATCTGGCCTTTGAAGCAAAACTAACCAGCAGCAGGCCCCCGTCCGGATCCGCACAGAGCTACCCTCCTGGGCGGTCCCCGCCGGCGGTGCTACACCTCGGCCGCCCCGGCTCACCTCGACAGTGGGGTCGTA